TACAGGGGAGCTCAGTGCCCAAAGCTCCCCTTGTTCTCCCTGGGGATTTTGCAACACCTCTGCGTACGGAGAGCTCCCCTAGTAATCTGAACTTCACCAGAAATTCTTGGAGTAGCTCTTAGTGTAAAGCTGGGAAGAAATGGAAATGGCAGTTGCCATTCACAGGTTCTGGCAGTGATTTAAGCAATGGAGCCAAAGGAAGAAGCGGGTTTTACTGGTGCTTATTTTATTTCTGCTTTTATTTTGAGCCTGTAAAAACCGCAGGTGTGACACTGCCAGGATTGGCTGAAACCATGGGTGTGGAGCAAGATAATCGGTTACCAAAGCTGGAGGTACCAAATGCGATCCAACAGAAAGTCATTCCAGGTAAAAGAGAGGGAGGGCATGTGCAGCAGGAGGCCACCTCAGAAGAAATGCTGTCACCCTTCTCCCCCATGGCGAAACCTCCGAGACACTGGCCAGTCGCTCAGGCTCGTTCGAACACTTTGGGATGGAAAATGCCCCTGCTCCACGCAAGGGTGTTTCTTTGGGATGCTGTCAGCCCCGTGGATCTCTCTCTGAGGGACACGTGCCCATGGGTGGGTGGAAGGGATCGAGGAGCCACCTCAGGTGCCCACAGCAGCGGGGCCGGGCTAGAAAATGCTCCAGAAAGCAAGGAGAGGTGGGTCATGGGCTCGGCACCAACTCCAGCAGCTTGATGAGTATCTGTTACCGTTGAGGTAGTTACTTCTCTCCTAGAAGTAAGATGCTTTTCTGAATCATCAAATCAACACACAGTGGTGTATTGCACCATCACAAACGTGTAAAACTGTCTAACGAGGAGTGATAATTCTGTAACTTCTCTACTTGCTCTGGAAGAGCGATCGTCTGCAAGGGCGATGCGCTGAACTCGCCCTAAAGGGTACGACACCAGTGGGAGGGATCCTTCAGACCACAGCAAATACAGCGATTGCGTATCAAAGTATTTCAGGCGAAATGAAAGGGCATCAATGTTTTAGGATGCAGAAGATAAACTTCTTGTCTCTCCAAAGCGTTCCTTTGGAAAGAGGGAGTTCTGGTTGCTTTTAGGTTGTACCTCTCTACATTTTATGTAGTTTTAGACTTTTATATAGTTTCTGTCTTATATTTGGTGAAAATTTGTGGATGGGCAGGGCAAATGAGGAAGAAAGGTTTGGCACCTGGTTGTTCATCCCTGAATGTGTATTAAACTGGGAGGGAACATGACAGAGCTGTTTTGGTGTAAAGAAAAGACTGTAAGAAAATGAAACGTTTCTTCCATACCTCATGGAGACCAACAAAGATCAGTTCAGCCCATTGAGTTTTTCTTGGGAATCATAAAAAAGACTCTTTCAGAAAAGATACTTCACATGTAAGAGTTGATATTACAATTTAAAGGGATTAATTTTTCCTTCCTATACTTTGCCAAGGTTTTATATTTATCCAAGCTTCTTCCACTTCCAGACTGGTTGATCCTTATATGATATGGATGTTCTCAAGCAGAAGATGTTCTCTCTTGTCTTCATCCGAAGGGTACAGTGGATTCATCCCCCGCCTCACCTGGATTAGTGGCGTGAGCTACGTCGAGGGTATGAACGAATTTGACCAATATCAGGTAGATTATATGCACAAACCTTATTGCAACAATATAATGTTGGGTTTGATTCATCTGCAATACCGAAAGTGGTTTCATTTACAGTAGTAGTGTTACAACTGGGGTTATAAGTACAGGCAAAATAAAATGCTATTAGGTAACATGTTGGAAAAAATCAGGAGCAATTAAATTCTCTAACTTGTTTCCTTGGGACATTAAGGGAGGATAAATGATTTTATAAAAGGATTAAGCAAATCTATTGAGGGTTGGGTCAAGGCTGGCTATTAAAAATGTTGCCCTGAGTGCAGAAACAGGATGCAACTATCGGCGCTTCCCTTCTGCAGTGAATCTTTCCCTGGCTGGCAGTGCTGGATGGCTTCCTGGGCTGCTTGGATGGGTATTTCTCTGTTTTCATGGGTTGTGAGGTTTTTCCCTTTACTAACATAATTTATCTTAAAGGGATCTAGATCTTCTTTCTCCTCTTTTTTTGGGAAGGATGCAGAAATACCTCTGCTGAAAACCCATTTTGCCCCCTTGCTGTAAGATCTCCCATATAATGCCATATGCTCCTCCTACACAGGGAAAATGAGATCCTCCCACAGTAGTTAACAGTTTGCATTAAAAGCTACACGTTTCTTCCTGCTACCAGGATGGAGCGAGATCCCTGGGATGCAGCAGTCTCACTGGTCCAGCACCGGTGAGGGCTGATCAGCTCCGTGACACAGCTCATTAAAAGCAGGTTACAACATCTCCAGCCCTTTCTGGGCACCAGGATTCACTGCAGTGCCGTCATCCCAAAGCGTATGGGTCTGATGTAGGAAAAAAAAAAAATTAAAAATCCAACCTTAAGGATCCTCAGCTCAGAGAAACTCAGCTGGGAAGAAATGCCTGAGCGGGGAGAGCAGCAGGGCTGACAGTGCCCACGGCAGCCTCCTGCTTTGGCTGAAATGTATTTCCCTGTGCTGGCTTCCTTACCCTCCTGCTGTTAATAGGAATTGAAATGAAGCAAACAACAAAACCCAGGCATTATCAAAACTAAATGTGCTGTTTGCAAAGCCTCTCTGCCCCTGATGTCTTAAGAAACGCCTGTCACGTAGTAAATCAGTGAGGGATGTGTTTCTGCGTTGCAGGATTCAGCTGAATCCAGGCTCGCAGAGGTTAGCTGCGGCACGTCAGGCGCTGAAGGAATATAAGCATGCTAAAAAAAACACCCCCACACACCACATTTCTATCTAAGATGGCTTCTGACTTCAAGCCACTAATCTTCTGCCCTAAATCTCTGTTGCCCTAGGTTACATACTGGGATGTGCCATGGATCATTGCTTACTGTCTGCATCAGGCAAAATAACGCAATCCTCGCGCTTCAGTGCTGCGCTTCAGGAATCGCAGCAATGGCAGCAGTCGCTCCATCGTCAGCCACAAACTGGTTCAATGGCCCCGCGGTTTGCTCGGCTCCCCGAACCCGGTCCTTTCACCCCCGAGCGGGGTGCGCACCGAGGAGGGCGGCGCAGCTTTTGGGACGCTTTTAGGGGTTTTGCCGCTGCAGAGCTGTGGGGAGCTGCAATCTCCTCCAGCACAGCCCCTTCTCGGGGTCTGACCTCGGAGGGCAGGGACAGTTCCAGGGGATGATTTACACTCTCCCTTCAGTTAACACTCCCTAAGCCTTCCTGTTCTTCCACGCTTGGGCATCACTGGCTAATCACCGTCGGTGGGGGTCCTGCAAAAACAAAACCAGCTGAAGGGCTCAACCCAAAACACAGATGTGCAGAGTCATAGCGGAGAGGCAGCCGAGGCACATCCCCAGCTCCAGCAGATACTGCTGGCTCGCAGCGTATCAAACGTAGGAGCAGAAGGCGTTTGGGACTTGCGGATGCTGCCCGAAGGGGAGGAATGCAGCCCAGTCTGTAGGGAGCCTGAGGACTGCACCGGGGGTGCGAGCTCGCAGAGGCAGCGCTGTCGAGAGCCGCTGCCAACACTTGTCAGGAGAAAAAACTACATTATAAAGTGGAAAAAGGGAAGATGCAACGTAGCTCCTAATTAGAAGAACATAGAACTGGAAAGAGAATTGCTGTACGTTGGCTTAAATATTTTCTCTAATATAGAGTCAAGGCACGTGACTTGGGTAACAACAATATGGTTTAAAATGAACTGTGCTGTGGGGTTGGGGTTTGTTTGTTTTCCAGTTTTTGCCGAGAAATCCACCTTGCAGCTTTGGCAAGAGATTTCCCCAAACATACTGGCCTAACAACAGAATTTGTACCAGTGCCGGACTGATACCTTCCTACACGGGCTTTGTACCACGTAAGTTTATCAGCTGAGTGAAACTGGAAGTCACTGATACTCATTACTGTCATTAAGCAGCACTGTTATTAGCTGTTGTGTCCTAGTAGGGAACAATTACTGAAATGTTCCACATGGGTAGTAGATTTATTTATTTTTTTTTCCCCCAGTTTGTGCCAAGGGTGCTGGAGCTGTGCCATCCCCTGCCTTTCTGCAGGAGAGCCCATCACCCTCGCTGCCAGCCTGGGCTTGTGCAGAACATTCCGCTGGTTTCCAGCCACCCACCCCCTGCCAAAGCAGAGGAGGCTCAGGAACACCCCACCCGTTACACCGGTGCGTTACCATTTCTTCGTCGGGAAAGTGATTCTGTTCTAAAAAGCTTAAAGCCTGGTAAAAAGCAAAAGATAGATGATACAAAAGGATTGAGAAAGCACCCAAAAAAAGCAGTGAAATGCTATTAGCCATCAAGACAGGTGGTGGCTACCCCATACTGTCTGCCTGATCCTTGTCGGTTATTGGCGTTGCCTAAAAGGAGAGGTCTGAAGTAATTTTGTGTATGTTAAGGGGAAGGTCTGCCCATGCACCTGAAAGAATTTCAACAAATCAGCAACTAATATTGCTATCTTTGGCCACAGCAAAGTCAAGAACTCACAGCTCAGTAACGTGGGGTGGGAAATCACGGAGATAAGCTTGGAAGAACCAAAGTCGTGGCTTGTACTTAATGCAATGCAGAGGAGGAAAATGGTCAAAGACACAAATGTGGTGGAAATGAAAGCAAAGAGTGGGAAAACAGCAATCCTGGCAGGGTTGGACTGTAGCTGATACAAAGGTTGAGCCCAGAGAGGAAAATGCTGAGGCAGTGAATGTGGCTCTGGCAAGACTTGTATCAGTGGCATGGGAAAGCCGTGCAGAAAAAGCAAAGCTGAACACACAGCCAGTCATCAGGAGCTTGAGGGACGGACTAAGGGAAAGGATGGAAGCATCTTACACACTGATGGAGAAAGGGGAGGCTAGGCAGGCCGCCTGATCAAAGGTGAAGAGAAATATGTTCCTTTGGGCCTCTGTCACCACACTGCTGCTCTGGGGGAGATGGCAAGCGCAGAGCTGCTGTCCCCCGTGTGTGACACCAACCTGTCCCCTTCCTTTGCACAGCACCTCCAAGGTGTCTCACCGTGACCACAGTCCTCTCCTCTCCTCGGGGAGGGCTGTGGTCACACTCCACAAAGCTGTAGCCTACAGGCTAAAGCCCCTGGGAGAAAAGCTGTTACGAACCTAAGAGTAAACCGGACCCCGGTGTCAATACTTACTCACGTGCTTTGTCCTCTCTCCACAAGCCTGCAGAAAGCAGAGGGGGAGCAGCCGGAGCTCTGCAGGGGAGGGTGACTCGTGTAGCTCTGCCCAAAAGGGTGCTGGGGGGGTACAGCACTGCCCTGCCCTCGGTAACTGGCAGGCCAGGGAACACACCAGCTTCAGGTATTCAAACGCAGGAAGGAAACACCCACCCTGACAAAAATCAACCGCTTAAAGTGTTGCTTCATGCTTGAAAAATCTGTTGCCACATTTTTACCTACAGTAGTCTCCTGGGTAGGTTTGAAACCAGCCACCTGCTTCTGTAGCCAGACTCATTTCCAGTGCCCCAAGAGCCACCACACTCGGTGCCATTTTAACTACTCCAACCAGTTCAACTCTGAAAGGAGAAACTTGTTTTTAAGACAGAAAAACTTAACACAAAATGAGTTACAATTAAGAACACTGAACAGAATTTCTTCAGCAGGAAAGCAGCCTGCCATCTCCTGTCCAGCTATTCGGAGTGGCAGTTTTGTCACTTCAGGTAACACTGAACATATTAACTGTTTCCACAGTAAAAAATTTGCTGTGCTAATATAGGGTTTTCATAAGACAAACCAGTGTAATTGGGTATCAGGTGGTCAGCTCCCTTCAAAAGCAGAAGCTCCAGTAACACTGCATTGATTTAATTTCAAAACCTCTACGTATTGATTTTAAAAAGTGACTCCAGCGAGGCTGCATACCCAGGAGCTCTTCAGTGTCACCTGCCCTCAGCAGTAGGCACAGCACAGCTGTCCCCAACGCTCCTGTGACAGCCCACCACTACCTGCTGGGTTTATACCCCTCAGTTGCTGCAGTGGCTCAGCCCAGCTCATTTTCTGCCAGAAACACCCACCTGTACCAGAGCGGGGGCTTGCCTGCACCATTGTGTGGTCCAGGCAGCTGGGGTAAGCTATAGGTCACAGACACCTACACTTCCATTATGGCCAGAGCTCCTGCAGACTGAAGCCTGTAACAGGAGTCCACAGGCAGGTACCTAAATTTAGACACAGCTTGCAGCTGAATTTCATTCTCCATGGGAAATGTATCCCCCCCCTCCACCAGCACCCTTGCTTATAAAGGAATACCGGAGAATTTCCTCAATTCCCACAGGACCAGGGGCAAGCAGGACTGCCACCACATCCAGCGACACAAGCAACAGGCGTCCACCTCCTTGGAAGGCAGGGAGAGAAGCGTGGTTGCCTCAGGGAAGGTGGCAGGGCTTACACCAAGTCCATTATTTTTCTTTTCCAGACCTCCGATACACCTACGCGCTTACATTTGGAAACAGCACCCGAAAATCTTACCAAAAGGAACAAAGGAGACAAGCTTGTGCACTGTGAAAAATGCTTTAATGGTGCCTGTACAGCATTTGAAGTGACTTTGAGACAGGAAGAGGAACACAACACAGACAGAGAAGATTCGAATGAAAGAGTTCATACAGCTTTAAACAAAATTTACAGGTGTTCATCTGCATAGCTTTTACTCTGCCTCCTCCTCAGCCTCCTCCTCAAACTCCCCCTCCTCCTCAGCGGTAGCATCCTGGTACTGCTGATACTCAGACACCAGGTCATTCATGTTGCTCTCAGCCTCTGTGAACTCCATCTCGTCCATGCCCTCGCCAGTGTACCAGTGCAGGAAAGCCTTTCGGCGGAACATAGCAGTGAACTGCTCAGAAATGCGTTTGAACAGCTCCTGGATAGCTGTGCTGTTACCAATGAAGGTGGCAGACATTTTCAGGCCACGAGGTGGAATGTCACAGACCGCTGTTTTAACGTTATTAGGAATCCATTCAACAAAATAGCTGCTATTTTTGTTCTGAACGTTCAGCATTTGCTCATCGACTTCTTTCATTGACATACGGCCTCTAAAAACAGCAGCTACGGTCAGATAGCGGCCGTGACGTGGGTCACACGCAGCCATCATATTCTTTGCATCAAACATCTGCTGTGTTAGCTCTGGCACAGTTAAAGCACGATACTGCTGGCTCCCACGGCTCGTGAGCGGGGCAAAACCAGGCATGAAAAAGTGCAAACGGGGAAAGGGAACCATGTTCACTGCCAGCTTCCGCAGGTCGGCATTAAGCTGGCCCGGGAATCGCAGGCAGGTGGTAACACCACTCATGGTTGCCGACACTAAATGGTTCAGATCACCGTACGTTGGAGTAGTTAACTTCAGTGTTCTGAAGCATATGTCATAGAGGGCTTCGTTATCAATACAGTATGTTTCATCTGTGTTCTCCACAAGCTGGTGCACCGAGAGTGTGGCATTGTAGGGCTCTACTACAGTATCTGATACTTTAGGGGAAGGTACAACACTGAAAGTGTTCATAATTCGGTCTGGGTACTCTTCACGAATTTTGCTGATGAGGAGGGTACCCATGCCAGAGCCTGTACCACCCCCCAGAGAGTGAGTAAGCTGAAAACCCTGGAGACAATCACAGCTTTCTGCCTCCTTTCTTACAACATCTAACACAGAATCAACTAATTCAGCACCTTCCGTATAATGGCCCTTTGCCCAGTTGTTTCCTGCTCCGCTCTGACCTGGAAGAGAGCCATTTTCATATTAGATTACGGTCACTGCTTCCTGCTTATTGCTTGCAAGCAAAGCTTAGGAGAGCATCAGGCTATAGAGAAACCCCACAAAAGCTTTCATTTTGTCAAGCACAGAGCTGTGGTTTCACACAAGCACCTCTGAAATAGCTCGGCAGATACACAGGAAACATTCATTATCCAACGACACAGCAGCCATTTAGTTTCTCCTGATATTACCAAGGAGGTAAAAGAATGGGAAGAGCAACGCCGTCCGGCGCCTTCTCGGAGCTGCTCTCCCAGCAGCTGCCATCATATCCGCAGAGCCCCGGTATTTCTCGCCCGTCGTGAAGCGCCAGGATTAACCCCCCCCGGGGCCGCGCTCGCCTCAGGAGCATGTGCGGGGCGAAGCCCGCAGTG